TGCAGCGCAACCTACCCATGGTCCTTGCAGCCGTAGTAGTAGTCGTAATAGTAGTAGTAGTAGTAGTCAGTCAGTAGTAGTAGTAGTCAGTCAGTAGTGGTCAGTCAGTCAGTAGTAGTAGTCAGTAGTAGTAGTCAGTCAGTAGTAGTAGTAGTCAGTAGTAGTAGTAGTAGTCAGTCAGTAGTAGTAGTAGTCAGTCAGTAGTAGTAGTAGTAGTCAATCAGTAGTGGTAGTAGTAGTCAGTCAGTAGTGGTAGTAGTAGTCCGTCAGTAGCAGTAGTAGTAGTAATCAGTAGTAGTAGTAGTCAGTAGTTGTAGTAGTAGTCAGTCAGTCGTAGTAGTAGTAGTCAGTAGAAGTAGTTAGTCAGTCGTAGTAGTAGTAGTCAGTCAGTAGTAGTGGTCAGTCAGTAGTAGTAGTAGTCGGTCAGTAGTAGTAGTACTAGTCGGAGTAGTCAGTCAGTAGTAGTAGTAGTAGTAGTAGCAGTAGTAACCTTAGCAGTCTATCAACTAGATACAGAGTCAACATAAAACGATGATCAGCGGATAAGGGACCGTCATCGCGTCATACTCATCGTGGCATGGTAGTTGAAGTTGAGCAACACACTTCAGCTAATATGCCGCAGGAAGAATGGAACATCTTGACATAAGGTAGAACACAGCATTTATAGTTCGTTTTGCACACGCTGATTTTGCTCTTTTTTCTTATTTTCAATGTTTGCAGTATTAACATGTGAATCAATACAATACTGTACACAATACTTCAACTGATTATGGTTCCGGATCATGTCTCCAGGAGTGCTAAGCCACTGGCACTCCTCATCTTTGGGTACCCATCCTGTAAGACGTACAGATCCAACAGCAACTAGACACGACGTCAGCGTGTTAGATCTTCCCTTTTTCGCTATTCCGAATTAACCACCCAGAAATTTCTCCGCAGCAATTCTAGCCCAGCCGAAGAAAAATCAAAATTCCAACAGCCTTGACCACGAAAAACGTGTTAACAAAAACTCTGCCAACGTAGCCAGATAAATGCCGCCGAAAACACTGTCCTCTCAACTCTGAGGCAAAAGTCCAATTAGCCGAGTGTTTGAAAACGCATTCGTCCGCTCGATCGATTGCCTGATCGACCGCACGGGGTAGGCGATTCCCTTCAGCCCAGCTTTCAATCACCATTATATACTTTCCCTTTTTTCTTTTATGTTTTTATCTGATTCCCGGATACCTCCCCTCCTGAAGCTGTTGCCGTTGTGTATGAAGCTAGCCGGGGATTAACCTGAAGCCTCCTGGAAGGGATTCTTCGCCTACCGGTGCATCGCCTTGGCTGTAGTGTTCTGGATTCGAATTCCGTGCTCTGCGGTCTGGTACTATTCGTCTGATGACAGGGTTCTTCTACTGGCTCTGTAGGCAAGTTGAAGCTGTCTGTCAACAGGTCAAATGGAAGCTTGGCGGATTCTGTTGCTTGTGGCTGACACATTGTTGTTCGCAGTTGGTTTGCATGGCGTACCCATACCTGCGTTCCAACCAGCACGTCGTAAATGACGCTTCCGCGCTTGCGCTGGATCGTGCCTGGCGTCCATTTCGCGTGTCCACCCCGATAATCACGCACAAGTACTGGCTGACCCGGTCTAAACGAACGTTGCTTGGCACCAAACCGCCGATTAAAATCACGTTCCATCTTTAGGTTCCTTTCACCAGCTATGGACTCTGAGGATGGCCGAACTGCATCATATGGCATGCGAAGTTTTCTCTTCATCATTGCCTCTGCTGGTGATATTCCACCCGGTGTTTGTAAATTTTGTGTAGATCGATACAGAAATAGGAAGCGGTCGATCACCTCCTCTATGTCTCCCTCCCTCCTTGATTTGAGGAGAGCGCGTTTGAATGTATCCACAAACCTCTCCGCTTGGCCATTCGATTGTGGGTGGAATGGTGGAGACCGCACGTGTTTGATGGCGCAACGTTGGCAGAATTCCGTGAATGTGGCCGAAGTAAACTGTGCTCCATTGTCCGTCACCAATGTTTCAGGGCAGCCGAACCTGCTGAAGATTTGTCGCAACCTAGAGACGGTTGCGCTGGTTTTCGTGCTTCTCATGAGGAACACTTCGGGCCACTTGCTATAAGCGTCGACCACTATGAGAAAGCTCTGGCCATTGATTGGGCCTGCAAAGTCTACATGAACACGACTCCAAGGTTTAGTTGGTTTAGGCCATGAGCGGAGTTCAGTCTTTGGCGGTGCCCTTGAGGCGGTAGCGCAGTTGCCACAACTTTTAGCTAGCTGCTCCAGCTGCCTGTCCATAAACGGCCAATACACATAACTTCTGGCAAGCGCTTTCATTCGGTTGAGCCCTGGATGTCCTGCATGGAACTGTCGCAGCACTCTTTGTTGCAACGCCTGCGGGATGACTACTCTGTCTGAGAACATGATGCAATCGTCCACAATGGAAAGCGAATGTCTTCGCTGATAGAACTGCTGCATTTCGGCAGATGAACACGAACGTGGCCAGCTGGTTCTGTGGAAGTGTGTCACCTTCTTCAGGATTGGGTCTCGAAGCGTTTCGGCCCGCACAGCATCGGCCGTAACTGGCATACCATGTAGTGCCTCGTTCACCAGGAATTTGACATCAGGTTCGATCTCAACTGAGGCAATGATGGTGTCCTCGTGTTCTTGTTGCTGGGAATCAATGAGGCGTGACAACGCATCTGCTTGGCCCAGCGAATTCGTTGACTGATAACGGATTTCAAAATCATAGCCCAGCAATGTAAGTGCCCATCGTTGGAGTCGATTGGCTGTATAGGCAGGAATTCCCTTCTTCGAGCCGAAAATGGCCAGCAGCGGCTTGTGATCCGTCAAGAGTTTGAAGCGGCGACCATACAGCATCTTGTGAAATTTCTTCACAGCAAACACTATGGCCAATGCCTCCTTCTCGATCTGACTGTAGTTTCTTTCAGCTTTCGTTAGCGTCCTGGCGGCATGTGCGATCGCCTTCTGAGATCCATCTGGGAACGTATGGGAAACTACGGCACCGATCCCTAGACTCGATGCGTCTGTGGCAAGGACAATTTCCCGGGAAGGATCAAAATGAGTTAGGAGTAAGTCTGAAGCCAACAATGACTTGACCCGCTCAAACACAGTCTGGCATTCTGGTGTCCAATTCCAGGTTTGGCCCTTGCTCAGCAACTTATTCAACGGGGCACGCAGGCGATGTAGTTCGGGCAGAAAAGCGCTGTAATGACTGATTAGGCCACAGAATGAACGCAGCGACTGCAAGTCCACAGGTGGGGGCATCTTTTGAATAGCTCGGATATTTTCTGGATCAGGGCGACGACCGTCTTTTGAGAAGATGAAACCGAGAAACTTGATGGTTGGTGTAAAAAAGGTACACTTATCTTCGCGGATACGGAAACCATATGACTGGATACGTACAAGCACTTCAGCGAGCCGCTGAAATAGTTCTTCTGCCGTCCGACCCATTAAAATGATATCATCCAGGTACGCCGCGGCTCCAGAAACTCCCGCGAGCATGGTGTCCATCAGCTGCTGGAAAATGGCTGGTGCTGTTTTCACGCCAAAAGGGAGGCGGTTGTATTGGTACAAGCCACGATGAGTGTTGATGGTCAGCAATTCTCTTGAGCTTTCATCAACCTCAACCTGGAGGTAGGCATCGGACAAGTCGAGCTTGGCGAAACACTTCCCACCATTCAGCTTGGCAAAGATATCTTCTGGTATCGGAAGGGGGTATTGATGGTCGTCCAATGCGGCATTCAGGCCAGTCGAAAAATCGGCGCAGACTCGCACTTTACCGTTCGGCTTTTTCACAGCAACAATCGGCGCAGCCCATGAAGAGTAGTTCACTGGTGTGATGACACCGGCTCGTTCCAGTCGGTCGAGCTCCTGATCAACTGCTGTCATGGCTGCATACGGTACCGGTCTTTTTGCTCTAAAGACTGGCTTGGTTCCTTCACGAAGACACAACTTTGCTTTGAACTTAGTGCAGTGGCCGAGACCATCTTCAAACAAGGTGACAAACTGCTGCTTTAGCTTTCTGGTCATCTCTTCTATCGACAATGATGAATGTACTGGGTCGGTTTGTACTGTATTGCAAATCTGACTCATTGGAGCATCAAACAGTTGTAATTTTTCCATCCAGTCAAGTCCAAGGAGGTTCAAGTTTGGTCGATCAGACAAGTAGCAGGTTCCGGCCTTTTCCACTCCGTTGAATGCAATTTTGCAATTTATTTCTCCGACCAACTTCAGCACTCCACCGGATGCATTGTGAGCGATTTTGTTGGAATCAATCATTTTCGGCTTCTTTATGTGCTTCCAAGTGTTCTTGGAAATGATCGTTATATCTGATGCCGTATCGAACTGCAGCCGGGTTGGGATTCCGTTGATAAGCACAGTGATAAATCGGCGGCGTGTTTTAGAATCGCTGTGAAACGTAGCAATCACCGATAGTGATTCTGCGTCAGGTTTTCTGAAATTCTTCCTTCGGTAGGACTGCTTCACATTTCTTGGCCGGGACTGATGGCAAAAGTCTTCCTTGTGGCCGCGTTTATGGCACTTATCACAAATATGACGCTTGAATGGACAGTATCGTGCGAAATGCCATTCACCACATGACCAACAAGGTGTAGGCGGCTTGTTCGGCTTTCTGTTGAACGACTTATTCGAGCCAGGCTTTCTTGCTTTTTGCACAGCATGAACAGTATCGGCAATGGTGGGGCAACTCTGCTCAATCATAGCCGTGTCGTGTTTCAAGGTAATTAACCGTTTGCATTCGCCTACAAGAGACTTCAATGTCAAATCTGGATCTTGATCCAAATTAGCAAGGAGCCGAGTGCGGATTTCCGCGTCGCGTGGAGACTGTAAAGCACTGACAAATATAAGACACTTAAACTGGTCATCCGTCAAACAGCGTAACTTGAAACGTTCACATTCACGGTTAACCATGTCTGCTAGTGCCCCATAATCGTCTGTATCACGCTTTACAATTTTTAGACATTGATAGCGAATGCTAAACAATGATGTCGACTCACCAAAAATTTCTTTGAGTGTTGCCACTGCTTCGTTGAAAGTGATGTCCTTCGGCTCTTTGGGCAATATGTGGTCAAGGAATCTTGTATGTTCATTAGTTCCGAGCTTGCGGAGCAAAAGGCGCACTTTCCATGAATCATCTTGACGGCTGAAATCCGTCTGGAACATATCCTCCCAACGTTTGAACCACGCCTCGAAAGTGGATTCGGAATCAGCATCATAATGAAATTCAGTGATTGAATTCGTAAGAAGATCAAGTGAAACAGCCTGCGTGTCCCGTGTAGCTGCTCCGTTTGATTGTACGTTTAAGCACTGCGTTAAACTTTCAATCAGTTTCATTTGTGCTTCCATCTGGGATTGTTGCTGAAGAAGCAGCTTTTGAAAATGTTCGGCAGAAAAATTTGTAACATTTCCGTGCTTGTCCGTCGCCATTGTTAGATCTTCCCTTTTTTCGCTATTCCGAATTAACCACCCAGAAATTTCTCCGCAGCAATTCTAGCCCAGCCGAAGAAAAATCAAAATTCCAACAGCCTTGACCACGAAAAACGTGTTAACAAAAACTCTGCCAACGTAGCCAGATAAATGCCGCCGAAAACACTGTCCTCTCAACTCTGAGGCAAAAGTCCAATTAGCCGAGTGTTTGAAAACGCATTCGTCCGCTCGATCGATTGCCTGATCGACCGCACGGGGTAGGCGATTCCCTTCAGCCCAGTTTCTCAACCGCTTCGGTTAATATTTCACACCTCTTCAGTAGCACAGCTAGACTGCTAACAAATGGGATAGAGTTGCATACTTGGAAGAACCAAAACGACTCTGCCGTGTTTGATTTTTTCGACCCCTTCCCAAGGCAGGTAGTGTGATAGGATTTCAAACACATGGTACACACCAGACCATTTTTTACCACTTTGGCACATGATTCACATTTGCTCTTCATACGAGACATGTTCTCAGTAGGGGTGCTGTTTTAAAGGGCAGCAGGGTAGCTTGAGAAAGAAAAATGGAAACGACAACGCTTACTCATATGTTGCTTCATTTGACAGATGTGGTATGTTTATCCAGTTTAGATACATCCAAGCTAATCACATGGACACTTCTGCATGTATCATCACCGCCACGTTGCAGAGAGGGCCGTTAAGCACATGGTTAAGTTTGCGTTGTTTCCTCCTCCAAGTGGAACGGATTACATCAAGTAATGCAAGTCGGAAAACTTTTCATCAAGGTATTTTTGAATAGCGTTAATTCAGGGGCAAGGATAACGTGAGTCGGAAGGGCATTCCAGTCACGGGACACACGGAGGGAGAAAAGGTTGCTTCGACAATCAAGCCGACTGTAGTGCGTAGCCAGTTTCAGCTGATGGCCTCTCAGGTTGCTATTTCGGATCAGCTGCAACCGATTGCGACATGGGTGTAGTAGGTTCGTCAGTATTAAGTAAGCCATGTTTAGGTCTTCTCGCTGATCTCGATATTCATCACTGTACAATCTCAGCGACTGCAGTCTGCGTTGGTAAGGCAAGTGAAACAATCCTCTAACGAGTTTGGTTGCTGTACGTTGTGGAGCTTCAAGTGCATCGATGTCACGCTTGTACCATGGACGCCAGGCCTGGATCGCATATTCCACGTGAGGCGCGACGTAGCCGTTCAGCATTTGGGGAAAAATTGATGGCTCGAAATTCCCTAAAGCCCTCTGTATGAATGTCTTATCCATTATATCAACTTCTGCTATGATGTACGCTGCTCCATTGAAACTATCTGCATGCGCATGGAAGAATTCTCTTCACAACTATTTAAACGACTTAGATTAAAGAAGGAACGGACATATAAATTCAAGTCGCCTGCTCAAGTCAAACAATTACCGTTGCCAATAAAATCATATGTAACGCTACTGAATAGTCTGTACATTGAAACTGTGTTAGGCAACCACGATTAAAGCAGCTGTGTGGCAAAAGTCCCCTGCCGCCAAGTAGAAGGCTGACCACCACGCGGTCGCTTCCAGCCAGGTCCTTGACGAGTGAATAGAGCGCGACGCGGTAGACGCTCAGGTGCCATGCGTAGGACATGACCGAGCCATCTCAACTGACGCAACAAAACCAGTTTGTTGAAGGAAATACTTGCATTACCCAAGACGCGACGTCGAACGTCATTACTGGTAACTCGATGTTGCCACCGAACACCAGCGATCCTCCTTAAGCAATCGTTATCGAACGCAGAAATATGACGCATGTCTTCCACGCGAATCGGCCAGGACTCGCTCCCATACAACAATACTGAGCGAACTGACGCGCTGTAAACTCGGCCCTTTAGTAAGAATGAGACGTCGCGACGACGCCACAAGTGCCTCAGATTGACAAATGCTGATCGAGCTTTAGCGATACGAAGCGAAACTTCTTTGTTGATAGTGCCGTCAGCAGAAACACAGCTCCCAAGTTAGACGAAACTATCTACCTGTTCAAGTTGTGCACCTTCGAGAGTGAGTACGGGAGCAGGTGAAAGCCAATCCTTGAGCAGTATTTTACACTTCGATGGGGCGAAGCTCATGCCATACTTAGATGCTTCAACCGCCAAACGATCCAGAATGAGTTGCATACTCTGAGGATCGTCACCAAGTAAGGCGATATCATCAGCATAATCTAAGTCGGTCGCGCGTTCACCCGGTAGAAGCTCTAGGCCAAAATGTTGGAAAACTTCTAGGTCATTCGACAGAAAGTCTTCGACTGCGAAGTTGAAGAGGAATGGGGACATAGGCAGCCCTGTCGCACACCGCTATTGACAGCGAATTGCGAGGAAAGCTTGCCATAAACCCTCACTCTACCGCATGTATGCAAATAAAGTGCTCGTAAGATGGCGGTATATTTCTCTGACACCCCGTTCTGTAGTAAGCAACGCCATAAAGCAGGTCGATCAACGGAGTCAAAAGCGGCACGTATGTCTAGGAATGCAACGATAGTGGGCGTGTGATAAATGTGGCGATGTTCAAGGAGTTGGCGGAGCGTTAAGATTTGATCCACGCATCCGCGGCCAGGACGGAAACCAGCTTGTTCCTCGCGGTAGTATGATTCACGTACTGGGGATAGTCTACGAAGTAGAATGGATGCTAACAGCTTAGAGGCAACCGAAATAAGACTAATCCCGCGATGATTTGCACATGAAGTGCGAGCGCCTTTCTTGAAAATTGGGACAATAACTGATTCGCCCCAAGAGGAAGGCACTTTCTCTTCATGCCAATTTTTGCGAACAGCGCGGTTAGCTGGTTAATGACTGCCACACCGCCATACTTGAATAGCTCCGGAGGAAGTCCGTCTAAGCCGGCAGCATTAAAGCGCTTCAAGCGTCGAATCTCGAGGCAGACTTCTGCTTCGCTGGGTGGATTCAATAGGACGAGCCAGGGTGGACAACAAGGTGTACTGCATGTACTGATGAATGGTGGAGGCCAGTTGAACTGCGAGTGAAAGTGCTCGGCCCAGCGGTCCATACGCCTCTGTTGGTTGATGATCGGTGACTCATCCACCTCACAAATGACCTCACTGACACCAGGCTTCCTGAGGCCAGTGGACCGAATGCGTTGGAAAAGCCTGCGAGTGTTTCCAGAGAGGGCAGCAGTCTCCATCTCTAAAGCACGCTCAGACCACCATGTCTCGCGATCCTTGCGTAGGCTTTTGCTTAAGCAGCCGGTTGGTAGAACCGCGCCGCTCGTTGCAATCTGATTCCGCAGAGATATCTTTGCGGCGTTCGAAGAGCTCCAGAAAACGAGCAGAGATCCAAGCCTTCAACAGGCGTCGAGTTAGACCGCAGCATGATTGTCCGGAAATGGTCAGCGCTTTCCGTATACAAGTCCAGTGTTGTTCCACTTCTCGCGGTGGATTGCAACTGAGTGCATATGCCAGTGAAGGCTGATAGCTCTCCTGAACAGAGGAATCAGTTAATCTGTTTACATCAATCTTGCGGTGCTTCGTGTTTCGGGATCCTCCAAAACACATACAGGTTTTCGCGCAGACCAGTGCATGGTCTGAATCAACGAAAGTATACCAAAAGGACCTGCAGTCCAGTACGCTGCCACGCCATCTGAAGCTAATCGCAAAGTGATCAATTTGTGACCAAGGTTGTGTTGGCGAAGGGGGACGCCACGTTGCGGAACGTTTCTTCGTACGCCTGAAGCTAGCGCTAGAAAGAAACAGACGGTTGTCCTCGCACAATGTGAGAAGTCTCTCTCCGTTATCAGAGCGGTTCTCATCAAGCGCGTAATGACCACCAAGGTGGCGTTCGTATGGTAACAGGCGGCCAACCCGTGCATTAAAATCCCCAGCAAGGATAACGACATCCGACTTTTTAGCATTAGTCAAGAGCTGTTGTAGATCTCGGTAGAAATCGTCCTTGACCGAGTCGCCACTGCAGTCATTTGGAGCGTACACAGAGATCGCAAACAAGTTGCGTCTCTCTTCGCGTTGCCTGTTGATTCTACATGAACTCCGAGGCCGAACTGCACATAGTCGGCTGTTAATAGGGCACCAGTCCAGTAGTGCCGCCTCGGCCTTGTCACTTAGTGCTATACCTACACCAGCCAGACCCGCTGAGGCTGCTTCTGGATCTCCAGAAAGACGCATGTGATATATGGCTTCGTGGTCAGTGGGGGATGTCAATGTAAGCACAGTGCTGGGATCTTGCAATCGGGTTTCTGAAAGGCAGCAGACATCAATGTCTAGGGAATATAGGGTGCGCTCTAGACCGGCTTGCTGTCCAATCTGCATGAGTGTCCGGACGTTGAAGCCCGCCAGACGGAACGAGGATCGGGGACGAAGGAGAGCCATAGGTTGAATTCCTTGATCTGCGGAGCAACCGGAATCGCAGCCAGATTGTTGAACAGATGAATCGGGTAACCGAAAGTGAGGATTGTTAGCAAACAAACAATTGGCGTGTGATGGAGTAGCGTGAAAGTGAGTAGCAGGAACAGTAGCTGATGAGCGCGTTGTAGTGAAGTCCATGGTTTTGTGAGAGGGCGTGATACTACCCGGTTGCCCAAGCCGAAGTAGGGAGTTGACTTAGGGGACTCCACCCCGAGCCTTTGGCTAAATAACCTACTCGCAAGGCAGCGGGGAGAATTTAGGGAATCGCGCCCATTGGGAGGCGTTGACTGAATGTTCAGTTCATGCGCCTTTGTTTGGTAGATTACCAAACAGGGGCCCAATACTCCCCATGAAGTCAGCACGATTGGTGGAATACAATGTCCC